TTTTTTGATTAAGTAATTAGTTTTTTATTGATCCCCTTGAATAATTTTTTATTGATGCGATAAATAGTTTTTTTTTGATACTTCACCCTCCACCAGACCTCCACCCAGGGCTCCGCACTGCGATCTCCGGTGGTCTCCGGCTCCGCGCCATCGCCCCCTCAGTACTCGGCCCGGAGCTTCACAACTCACAGATTCGTCTGATCCATTTCATCTTGCACTTGGTGTCGAACGCCCAAGGCGGAAGGGAATCGCCCAAAGTCCAAAAAGGTACTCACCCAGATTCAAGGTGGAGGAATACTTTGGCTTCGAGCCAAAAGGTCTGGATGACGGGACACATCTGGATGAAGCTCAGGACACGGCACAAGCACAAAGAGGTGCTAAGTTTGAACCGAATTTCAGATCAGAATTCCGCCCAAAGACCCACTGAGCCCCTGAATCAACGAAGCCAAAGCAGGCAGCCACTAACCTATTGCTTCAACTTCAACATGCTTCAACCAATGGACCTGCTTCGCATTTGGAGGCTGGAGAAGCCCAAGTCTCGCTCCTCTGCAGTTTCCGACCGCTCTACTCAGCCTCTGCTGGAGGAAGTCTCTTGGCTCATGAAACATGACATGGAACTGGCTTCTCGAGGACATGGGGTGCATTCTTGCCCCCCGATCCCTCGCTTTCAGAGGCCCACCTCGCCTGGGAAATCTGCTAAATCCTCAGATGGGACCAGCAACGGCGGCCAAACCCAAAGCAAGGTACAGTAGATCAATATCTGCCTACAAGGCTCTTGGTGTCTTTATCAGGTGAACATATGTTCACGTACTTTGACATCTGTTCCTTTCTTGCATGGGGTATGTCGCAATGTGCGCGCTAGCGTGCCACATGCAAAACAACAACCAATTAAAAGTTCACAAAATATGTCTCACGTCTGGACTTCTGCATGGAACATTGTCACTCAAAACGAACCATAGAACATACTAGATATATATACTGACTATTGTGATTCATTGTGCATGAAAGAATGATTTAGGCACACGGCACACGTATATAACGTCACAAACTCATGTTTGGTGTCTCCATCGGCACTGACAAAGACTTTCCAAACGCGTCCGTTGCCCATCTGAAAAAAGACCACACACAAACTGCACCTTACCTGCTTTTAGATGCCTGTAGCGCGTAGTACAAAACTTCTCAAAGTTATCAAGCATCTTTGCTCAACATTGTTCTTGAATTGTCAGCATGGCTGCAAGAACTGAATGAGTCAACTTGCCATGTGAGTACAGAGATCCCCTTGGTGTCCAGAAGGCCAAAAGTACTCTTTCCTTGGCCCTGCCGGCCCCTATCGGTCTCCAGTGTTTTGGAATGCAGGTGTCCTTTCAATCAAGGAAGGGTATCGGTATGGGGTTGGCCCCCTATCGCTTATGCAAGGTGTTGATCAATTCTACTTTCGAGGCACTTCCAAGGACCAAACATGCCAGCGGCAAACAGTTCCGAGGACATTGGTGACGCCATCTTGACGATCTTGGGCCTCAGGATGCCTAAAGCTCAATGAGCACATGACTATAACATAGGCCTTTAGATCGACCTGAACCCTCGTGGAGCTCCGCTGTTCAGAGGCAACACATCCCCCGACCTTTCCAGAGGCCACTCGTCTCGTCTGCCTTTCCGTCGGCCGGGAACGTCCTCTCGGCCACCCAACGCGATGCACGTGAAATAGGTACTGGAGCTTAATTCGACTCGCGCCTGTGGAAAAAAGAGGCGGACGTGTAGAGATGTAGAGAGAAAAGGCGGCCAACATGGCGATGGGTCTCAGGATCATGGTACCATATTATATTGTATGATAAAATTGAATCCTTTCAACATAAAGCAATATATTGTATACAAGGGGAAAATTAGTATTAAAATCATGACTGTTGCATACTGTTGCTGTAGATTGGGAACTTCTTGCCATTGAACAAAAAGGCCCTTGAAGACTCAGGCCTCTTGAACAAATGAAAGATTCTTGAACAACTCCTGCAGGTCAGATTAATGACTTGACGGCTGCCCCATGAATACCTCACGCGAGGAGCATCTTCCATATGTGTCGTATCCTCTACCCTTAAAGGATACGCACCACATAGCGCCATGGATTCTGAGTGGTTCGGGCTTGGGATATCAACTGACTCGTAGCTCGAGTAAAGCGACAGGTACATGACCGAAGTACCCAACCAATCGCAGTCAGAAACCACCGGCTGCCCGGCTGCCCATCCCATCGCAGTCATTCCCCGCCTTATGGGCGACGCAGCTTCCAACTGAAGAGGACTCAGCGGGAAGGCGGCTCAGTTTTCAATTGGCTGATTGTCGAATCGGTATGAATCGGATCAGCTCCTATGTGAAACCCGGCCTAACCATCACATGGGTTCATCAATCACGAGACTCTCGCTATTGCTGGAGTGTGCCGTCTCCCCATTGCATCAGTGCTGCACTTGATGCGGAGCATGAGCGTGGTCGTCCATCGTGAGGTTTCACTATGATCGCTCTGAGGACATGACACATTCCGGGCTGGTCTTCGTCTGCACAGAAGCTTTTGCACACAGGAGTCACAGGAACAAACACCTGTCACCTAGTTGTTTGGTTTATATGGTATTCAAAGGTACACATGTGAATTGGAAAATCACCCTCAGCTAAGAAGCGTTGATTGGGGGTTGTACAGAGGGGTAAGAAGATGTAAGAAGCAAACACCATCTCTTGAGCAGAGAGCACGACAGTAGGTTACACGACAAGAGCGGGAGCCCAAACAAAACAACAAAGGAAGCAAAGCAAATGAACGCCGGTTTGTTCGCCTCCTTCGAGACAGACCGGCATGACTTGGAAAGTAGCACACCGTTGCACATGTACGTCAGTCTGGGATGATTTATGATGATTTCACGTCCAAGGAATACCTTCACAGCCAATGAAGTACTGATTACTGCATGAGCTCGAGATGATTGTCACCTGGCTTCTACTCTACTGCCGATTCATAGATAAGCAATTGCTACCCCAATGGAAATGCAAGGTTACAGTGCAAAGGGAATTGTGTCTGAATTTGATCTGCACAGTTTTGCGCGGATTAAACTATTTGTCTGAGTCTGGTCCAACTCTTCTCTGCACAGCTATAATACTAAATATACTGTATATGTGTATCTGTATACAACTGCTTTGGAAACAAGGCAAACCTTCTGGGCCATTCCAGATTCTAAATGTCTCGAACGCAAAAAAAAAAAAAACAGTATTGGTTCGGTCCAGCTGCCTCCGATTTGTTACGTCCCCAAGCCGATTTCTTCAGGGGAAGCAACTTCCAACTGCACAAGATTGACCTTCTATTCCTTTAAATCCGGCTTCTGGAGATTCCATTAAACCCATTGTTCCGCCAAACCCTTTCAAACATCTGGGCAGTTGATCAATCAATGTACATAATGTACGTTATAGAATAATTAGATCCTGCACCGTGCTTTGATTCCCTTGCTCCTCTCCCAGCTGCGCCTCGCGACCCTTGCACCGTGGGCGCATGCTGGAGCAGCGGATTCCCAGCTGAATCTGCGGGGCCCCGCAACGAAACATGTGGTCACCCCTCGCCGCCCTCGCCCCTTTTGGTTGAATTTGGAAGTTATTCTGGCAATGGGTGACACCCGCCATCACTGATTGTCCTGATGTTGATTGGCCCAAAATGCTTTGGCTTTGGCTGTTCGGACAGTTCGGACCGAATCTCAAGAACTAAGCTTGGGCCCCTAAGAAGCATCTTTTCAAGCTGCTTCCCATAGAAACCCTGTTGGATTTTTGCACTCCCCAGGTCATCGAGCGATTCCGGGAAAAAGCTGCCAAAGACAATGCAATATTCTAGTGTGTTGCTCATATCATGACTGCCTCAGCACTGTGAGATTACAAGGAAATACCTACGGCAACATAATGAAGCAACTGGTCAACTGCTCTCCGATGCAATAAGTCTCAAATTTTGTACAACCCACACTCCGCAGCAGGACCAAATCTGACACTGGCCTTCAATGTGTGATTTTCCAGATACAAAATGACTCTGTGCTTGTCAACATATATAGAAATCATGGAAAGGGATTTACGAGAATCTAGCTGAGGAATTCGTAGAATCTGGTGGTGGCCGTTGAGTAGTGTTTCTGAAGCACACAGCTTCCCGCCGCCAAAGGATGGAATCCCTTCAATTCCCTCCTTCTGAAGGGCTAGTGGCTAGTGACTGGCAACATGTTTGGAGACAGCATAGATGGTCATCATCTCCCAGCGGCCACGTGGCCGGCGGCCTTGGTTCTTACTCTGCTCATATCCAAAGCAGCTGTTGTGCTGTCGGGCCTGAGCCGGTACGATAGGGACCACCTGTCACTCTGCATCGGCATCAGGAGTGGTTGGTCTGTCTATCTTACATTATGTAAAGACCATGCAGTCTTGGCCTACTTCATCCAACAATCCATCCCATGTATATTTGAAGTCTTGGAGTACATCTTGACACCCCAAGCACCGACTCCCGAGCCCCCGCGCACTTGGGGTGTCACACTCCGGGCATGTTCCAAGAGGCGGGCGCCGCAGCGGCGCCGCTGCTGGCGACCCTCAGAAGGTGTTCAGGGAACGTTTCAGGGAACGTTTCTATGTCAAGCCATCAAATCCAGTCGCTTCTTGGTGTCAACCTCCCGGTTTTTTGGGTGGCTCTACTACGGACTAGGGTGACATAGGGTGACTAGGGACTGATCATTGGCCTGTATGTCTTTTTTCTTTGTGTACGTTTGCAGTTGTGGAGCTGGTTGGTCTACCTACCGCACAATATATATCCGTTTGTCAACGAAGCCAGCCATAGAAGTGGGCGTACGGCGTGCGGAGACTTTCCAGGTATGCGTTGAGCTCATGTGTAGCTGATTCTGAGCTTTGGATCAATCACACCTGACGCAAAGACACACACACACACATAGTTTTAAACTATATAGTGTGCATGCAATTTAACACTTTATACGTTACACATGTTTTTGCTTATTTATACTTATATATACACTGTATATATATATATGTGTGTTCCAGACTTATATGAGCGTCTGCTAAAACGTACTGTCAAGCAAAGGGCAAAGGAGGTTATCGCTTTTGAGTGGGTCTATCGCTTTTGCAGGTCTTAGCCAAAATTCCTGAGATTCACGACGGCTCTTTACTAAATGAGTCATTGCACGTTTTGGCGGTTGCTCACATATTGGGCCATTGGATTCTATTGTTTTTGACCCAGCACCCCACGGTTCCGAGGCCATCCCCCCGGTTCGCCGGCCTGTGGTCTCCGCCCGCCGGACCTGGACGCATGGACGCATGGACAAAGGCTTTGAGCCGCTGATGGCTGGGGGCTTGTGGGGTGATTGAGTCATGTCCAATGTATCAACGAGTCGTATATGTTTTGCATGGGTTTTTAGCTTTGCATCACATACAGGGAACCTGCACATGGGTTGCAACCAAACCTCAGATACCAAACCACTAAAATCCTCTAAACTGCCTGGGCTGACGAAAGGTAACTGCCTGGCCTGAAAGATGCTGAAAGATCCTTTGAGCTCAGCAACCCAACTTTGGGGTGGTCGAACCTCCCTACCCACCACTCTGCAGAGGTGCCTGGGCCTCGTGTACGGCTGCTCGCTGCCTCTGGCCGGCTGGAGCGGCTCGGGATCCGTCGGACTTCGCGTGGTGCCCGGGCTGGCCTTAGCAGATCCCAAGCCCAGCTGCTTGGGGATCTGAGTTCCTCTTCTGAGTGAGAGCAGTGCGGGTCAAGAAGACCAGGCCCTTATTTGAGGTTATGTTTTGATAATTGTTTCGATTGTTTTGCTTCTCAGTGTTTGAGACGGCTTCAGGTCGGTGCAAGTTGTTGTTTTGCCACTTCAGACTGCGTGCCTTTCCTCATGAGTAAGCATCAGGTAAGCCTGGCACCAACTCATCCACATCCAAGGAAATGAGCATCGGCTCCTGTCAGGTCTCTCGGGCAGTGGATATCTTACCGCTGGTTCTCTCGACCAGTCGTAGGAATATGGGTGACAGGCACCGGCGGCCAGCGGGCCAACGTGGATGGCCACCGGGCCCGAGTTCGCATGACCATGTCAATGCAAAGACCAAACAGGTGGTGAACTCACGAAACGCTCCACTGAACTCATGGTTCGCTTGTCAGACCTGGTCACCCACAGGGCTTGATTTCTTTCGCCGTGGAGGCTTTTGAAACCGATGTTTTGTTCCATGCGGAGCCATGTTGCCGACGTCCGAAGGAAACGGTCCACTGACCCTGTGGTTGGTTGGGGAGCATCGTCTTCCGCGCTTTTGACCTGTGTTGCTGTTTGTTCGAAAAGACCAGTCAATACCCCTTTGCCCCTGGCGAACATTCCGCGCACCCTGGCGCGGATTCCGCGCATCCTGTGGAGGCAGGAGTTCTGGAGACCTTTGCCAGTCCTGCAAGGAGTTCGAGTGTTTCTTCTCTCACCTCCCAATAGTCAATAGTCCATGGGATGCTTAGTGGATCTTCCATGAGATGTTCCTGGAGGGGTCAGGTGTTGGTATTCAAGTGAATTGGGGAATGATGAATGACGATGAAGGCATTCCTATAAAATTAGAAAATGAGTCGCCCAGCATCATGGATCAGCTTTGCATTCTCTAGTGAGGAAGAGCTTCAGCAGTAGAAAATGCCGCACTTGTGTCTTTTGACCCATGTTTTGCCATTCCCAGTTTTGATGTTGTATTTGTCAGTTTCATTGGTTTCTCATTCCTTAAGTAAACAACTATTCTTAGAAAATGCATATGCCTGACCCCTTAGGGTTAGTCCTCCCAGCCACGATTTTAAAGAATGGACCGTATTCGACAGACGTGGACCCCGCCCATTTTCGTTGTGGCCTGTCCGCCTACAGAGCTCAGCATATCCAAAGCATTTCTTTTTTGAGCTGTCATTATAAGGTACAAAAACACAGCCACAAACATAGTAAGGTTTAAAGAAAAGCAACGAAATGAATCGAAATGATACTTGTTTTTCTGAGCTCAGATCAAGCACATTCAAATTTCATTGATCATATAATAATATACGGTACTTGATCTGAGATGCCCAAGTGCTGGAGATTCTCGTGGACCAGCTGGGTGGCAACATCAGTTTACGCACGAAGGGACCTGGTCTGAAGGGGCCTTTGAAAACCACACAAAGGAAATGAATACCATTAGTCTTGGGGTGCTGCAAGGCATTTGCCCTGAGATACCAGAGCTTCAACCCTTCATGTCATTTCCTTCATGTTCACCGTCAAAGCACCATGCCCCAAACCGCGAAGCAGGGGAAGTGCAAGAGCTCCACCGCGCACCGCCAGGTACGTAGGTGGAAGGGCAAGTCTCTCTCAAGCTTGGATGGAAGAGGGAAAACTAGACTACTAGACACTCTGACTCACTCCACATGGAAGTGGATGGCATGGTGACTGGCAAGACTATTGTCCTACTTATTGTCCTACTTATTAGAGTCACTCTATACAAACACAAATAGGGATTAGTTCCGCTTCCATCGACGATCGTCAACGTCGATCCTCGAAGCCTTCGAAGACAGTCCTGTCGATCAACGGCGGCAGCGGTGGCAGCTTGAAGCACACATCTGGAGCGGCTTTGTCCGGTGAGCCTGGCCAGTGAGTGGTTTTTAGAGCTGGAGCCTGATGGGGCATGATGGGGCATAGAAAAGAATCAACAAAAACAGCAAGTAGGGAGATTCATTCCCGAAAAGCAATTAATGCATTTAACAATATTTAATGTATTGTAATATCATTTAATAACTGATGTGGTGCAAGACTCACATTCTTCAGCTACTGGGGCCAACTTGTTCCAAACAAGGATATCCCGTATCCCCAAAAGCGCTGGAAAGATCTGGAAAGTACAACCACCTACAAATTCCAGACAGGGCACCCCGCGGTGTCGGGTCCTGGTATTGATTCTTGATTCTATTCCTAAGCCTTAGGCCAGTAGGCCAGACTCGGCTATCCTCCATGGAAGTAGATATCAACCTAGCTGCTAGTCCCATGGCTGTGGGCCTGTGGGTGTGTGGGTCCATGGTGCTTCAAATAGGGTTGTGTCATGTTGTGTCTATATTCTTGTCAAACTCCCACAACAAAGTGCCAACCTGCAAAGAATCTAGGGTGGTCGACCCCAATGGTCACTCTTCTAGAAATCATGCAAATGTGTTTCTTTGGTGGCTGTGGTGGCTCCCTCATGTCAAAAAGGAACATGTGTTTTGATCTTGGACTGCTGTGTGTAAGAAATTTCATGTAAACGATTCCTCAAACATACTCCTTCAAGGTCTTCAAGTGGAGGACAAACAACTGCGACCAGCCCAACCAGCTTGCACCCAGGCTTCAACTCTGCTTATGCCTTCCCAAGGAGCCCAAACTGCTAAGGTCCAAGTGCATTGCTACTAGTAGCTTCTTGTTACTAGTAGTAATGCCCTTCTTACTAGTAAGTAGCAATGCCCTTGCTACTAGTAGCTTCTTGCTACCAGTAGCGATGCACTTATTACAATGCTGGTGACATAGTGTCAGCTTGCGGTCCCACCACACCGCTGTTCGGTGACACGCTCGCCTCGCCTGCGTGGAGGCCTTGCCTCGGTACGCACCGTCTCTATTTTGGTCAATGCCTGTTCCATTGGTACGCACGTCTCCATCGGGTCGAATGCAACGATCTTGTTGTTGTGGGAATGGTTCCATCAAGTGAAAGGATGGAGATGGTCTCTTTGACCATGGCTTGGACCTTGCCAGTCAAGAATCAGTAGCCTGTTGAAAGAACAGCTGCGGACGCTAGATATGCATGCTGCATGCATGATTCAGTCAACCCTCCAGCATCATATAACATCATGATACATCATGTAACTCCTCCTTGGATCGGGTGCCCTACGTATCCTACATGGGTCAGGAGGTCCGCAAGACTCCAGGTGGTTCCCCTGAGAGGCTGACCGAAGGAGCCAAGGCCAGGGTCAAAGCCAAGATGGGAATCACCTGGGAACAGATCGTCGGAATGCCCCCGGCCGCGTGTCCGGTTTGCCGTGTGTCCAGTCCGCCGTGTGTGAAGACGCCGCACCCAACGTTTGTGGCAATGCTTCCTCTTCAAGGGTATAATTAGGCAAGCAAGCAATCTTTAACGCATCATATGATCTAAAGTGGGTCGCGAGATTCAAAACCAACCATAACTACCTTTAAATATGACTGCTGGCATACGGGCGCTGGCCACTCGGCCCCCACGCCGCCACAGATGCAGATCGCTCTGGCACCTGAGGAGGACTCAAAACATGTTCCAAGTTTGGTGTGAGGGCCCTGTCCAAGCTCATTCCCTAGGGATCCAAGTGCCTTCTCAGAAGGTGCGACTGGACCCTCCAAACCTGCATAACAGTGCCGAACACATCACCGTACCTGAGAAGGTACGACTGGATCCCTATATAAAAACAGGCCACAAAGCTCCCACCTCGCTCCAGGCCCCTTCCGAGCTCCCCGGACCGTCGCGGCGGGTCCCGTCCCGCGGGACCCCCCCGCGGGACGGAGGAGCGGTCGAGCCTTAAAGCACGTCGGGGATGGGCGAAGGAGGGATTTCGATGGATTTGGCAATGGCAGGTGCCTAAAGATACCTACCTACGTCGATCCCTTGCAGCATATTTGGCATCCCAAAGCCGGTGAGGAGAGTGTCGATCGTACTGTAGCGTCGTCCGAAGCGTCGTACTTGTCGTCGGGTTCTGAGGATCAGACAGTGGCTTGGTGTGCTAAGAGGTTCTTTTGTCAACCGTGTTTCAGACCTACTGTCGCACCAAGATCAACCTTCCAGAAAAGCAAGTGGAGAGGCAGCAGGCCAGGCCAGTGAGTGACTTCTCCACCTGTCTCCTCACCCATTCAGAAACCTTGTGTTGGACGCATGCTCGAGGGTGGCCAATGGTACACGCATTATTGCTTGAGAGAGGGTCGGAGTGCTCCCGGTGGTTGGACCGCCTCGAATCAGGTGGGGGAAGAACAAAGACTCATTAAATCGAATAGATCCTTCCAACATGCTCCAAACGGGCCAGAGCATGGCACGCAAACTGAGTCATAGAGTTCATATAGGTCCTGAGTCTAGGAATCCCACTTTCAGGCTCAGAGATTGGATTGGCGTTTGGACAGATCAAAATGAGCTATGGCCCATGGCCAAGACCTCATAGAAAAATCATGAAAAAAACATTTGTACTGGATGGTGATATTCACTGCACGGTCTTAGCAACACCTCAAATTGAAGTCAGGTGGCTGCCGACGGGTTGGTTGACGTGATGCTCATGATGCGCTACCCTTTCTGCGCTAAACTGGGTGAGACATCTTTGGCGCTTCCTTCCAAAGCGCGGCCTCTTGTAAAGGAGGGGCTTGCGCACCCGCCCCCACCACCCAAGTATTTCCAAAACCTTGCAAACCTTGGTTGATCTCGTATTTCTCGAGCACGACGATGTTGCGATGAATGTTAATGCTGCGAATGGATCCAACCTCTGTAAACTTTGGATCAGAGGATCTCCCGATGTGCATCTCAGAAACCAAATCTTTCAGCTTCTCAATCCATTGGTAGGCATCAGCGTTCTCAAAAGCAAACTGCAGATCCTCAATAATGTAAACACCACCGGGCGCCAAATGAGGCCAAAGTCTTCGGAAGCTTGCAAGCTGCATGCGGCCAACGTGACTCCCATCATCCACAATGATGTCAAAAGGAGGTACCGATGACACCAATTCGTCCAAAAAGCTCTGATCTTCTTGGTCGCCGAAAAAAATCGAGGTGATGTTATCCTCAAGCCGACTCTTCATTCCTGGATATGGACAGCACTCGACCCCGGTCACACGTAGGTCCCGACCAAAATAGTCTTTCCACATCTCTAGCGCCCCACCGCTGCCCAAACCGATCTCCAGCAAATGAGGCCTCCGCCTGCGAAAATGCTGCAAGTGCCGGTGGTAGACTTCGAAATAGTTCGGGCTCTTCGTAGCAAGCAAACCTGGGCGGGGTGAGCCTGAAAGCTTCATACTGTTCTGACCAGAATAGATCTCCCAAGATCTCCCAACCACCACAACCACTAAAATATGATTCAAGCATGACAACAAACCCTTGGCCCATAACCACATCGTCTTTTTTTAAGAAACAGCTTGAACCGTGATTCGAACCGAACATGAACCGGTGAACATACGCTTGAACTGCATGTGATCGTCCCGGAAAAACAGAAACGATCCAAAATCCGTTGAACAACGACTCTCCCCCTCAGCCTGCGCGATGCGAATCCCACCAGTCCACTAAGGGATTCTGGCTGGGTGCCCAGGAAGGGATCTCTCGCGCCAGGCTGAGCCACTTCTTCAAGCGAATCTGCGCCGAGTAGGGACCCCAACTCCCAGCTGTGGTCCTACTCCCAGGCGCGAGGAAAAGACGCGGCAGTAGGCTGGCAGAGAGAAGGATGTCGCCATCGAGGACGGACAACGGGAGGACAAAAGAAATGATGCCCGACTTCTGGAAGTCTTCGCAGAAGCTCTTTTGGTATCCCAGACTTTGGATCTGAATGCAGATGGAGGTGTTGAACTGGAAGGATTCATGTACCCAAACCATCACTTCACAACGCAGTCGCTTGCTGGAAGCGACATGAACCTGCGGACCAGGCCCTGGCCAAAGCCACCGTACGTACGCTGGTTCTGCAGGTGTGGAGGCACTAAAGGACACGTGGAAGCACAGCAAGACATGTCGAAAGCTGCCCACCCGCCATAGCATTCTCGGAGCCTGCAGCTCATTGGGACGTTTTGATCATTTATGATCATTTTAGATCCAGTGCGAGCATGTGCAAGCAAAACTTCTTCCAATTAGTTCCTCTAGTAAATTTTGGGATCGTTTGGAAGCACTGTCCTGGTTCAGAACATGTCAGAACAAATGTCCCTTTCTTATCTTTCTTTGCACGAACAGGTGATCGTTGCCTTCCAGTAAAATTCGCATCTCCAGCCCATTGGTGGTTCTTCTCAAGCAGTGTTCCGTTCGTAGCTTCTTGTTACATCTTGTTACTAGTAATGCCAGGAGCTACGTTCGTAGCAATGCCCGTCCTTGCTCCGTTCGAGACGCGTCTTGTTACTGCTTTCATGTCCATCGATCCGTCCCTGTGAGGCCAAAGACGCACGAGCGGCGGAATGGGTGGGTGTTACGTGGCGGACCTTGGCGTCGCGCGCGCTTCACGTTCTGTGGGTCCCGCAGGTTGGAGCCGCGGAGAGATGAAGGTCCGTGCAGAGATGAACTGGAAGACCTTGGCCGCAGAACATCTGGAGGTCTTCCACTAAGCAGAACCGTTGGGTGGTGGTGTGTGTGTTTTGCTTGTGTACCTTCCCAGGTGCTTGGCATGTCTCCTTCATTTTGGTAATTCTATTGCAAAACAGCATGATTGAACTTATATAACTTACTTGCACACGTTACATCCTGTCACCACACTCTACGTTTATAAGAAATCCCCTGTCATTGTTTAGTTAGACAAATACTTTCAGGATGGTCAAACAATCAAATCAGCGTCACCACCCAAGTCAACTCTTGTCGAAAAGAATCCACAGCAAATCGCGACTGCGACTGGACCTGCTGGTTGAGTACTGTTTTGCCCCCAACTGGTGGGGCCGAGCAGCTTGTTGACTTGGTCCACCGAACAAGCGTCTGGAGGATCGACCAGGTGTCTGGAGGATCGACCAGGTGTCTGGAGGATCGACCGACCTGCATCCTCACCGGGGCTTTCAGAGTTCGGGCGCCACCGCGAACGGCTTCTTCGGTCTTTGGAGGTCTCCTCTTCTCCGAGGACCGTCGGAGGATGGGCAGGCTGAAGACGCTTCGTTGATCTCAAGCATCTTTAAAACCTATCACCCGTCGACGCTCCGTGAGTTCACAGGCCGGTCCCTCCTCTGGTCCCTCCAAACCAGAGGGGATTGGTGCTGAAGGTCCGGACGAGAATACCACCAGAGGACTCCGGAGGCTTCCCCGGCCCCGTTCCACGGAGGCCTCCGGCCAGATCGTCCTCGCTCGCTTCGGTCCGTTACACCCGAGGGCAGCACCCAAAGGCCAAACAGGACACCGACCTCAGCGATGCGGCAAGCGGTCCGGACGACTGAAATCTCTTAGCAGGTTCACTCTTCCCACCCCCGGGCCCCCGGGGCGGGTGTCGAGAATTAGATGTTTCCAGCCCAAAACACAAGAGGGAAGGCAAAAAAACTCAGAACACACGGGACTGGGTTGCTGCAACTCCTGCGACTGGGTTGCTGTTTGTCTTAAGACTTCTCCCTGTGCCTTCCCGGTGCCAAATCATGGAACACTTGGGCGCACGGTGAGGCCAATGTGAGCAGCCGCTAGTTGCTCTTCATGGTCCCAAAACGCCTCCAGCCCCCAGGGCTCCACCAGACCTCCACCCAGGGCTCCGCACGATCTCCGGTGGTCTCCGGCTCCGCGCCATCGGCCCCTTAGCTCGGCCCGGAGCTTCACAACTCACAGATTCGTCTGATCCATTTCATCTTGCACTCGGTGTCGAACGCCCAAGGCGGAAGGGAATCGCCCAAAGTCGAAAAAAGGCACTCACCCAGATGTCAAGGTGGAGGAATACTTTGGCTTCGAGCCAAAAGGTCTGGATGCGCAAGGTCTGGCCAGTTGTTGCATCTGCCCGTTTTTCGACCCTCAGAATCCCTGAAACCTCCTGAAACCCATTGAAGCATCGCTTGGGATCCGTCCGTTCGGTCCCTTCAATCGCCTGCTTCTGGCTTTCCCCACCAGCCAACAAACCCACCGCCTGCAAACCTTGATCAAGTGTTGAGGGATACTGAGTGTACGATTGATTAGTGGTGCTGAAGCCTGGTGAATCCTGGTTGCATGTCCATGGCATCCGCGCTTTTAGCTTTTCTTCGCAGCATTGAACTGGAGTCTCTGGCCATTGAGATGGCGCTACCTGCAGCCAGAAAGGCTCTCGGACTCGACTGGTGGTTTTGTGGAGGTGCAGCTGGTTTGTACCAGCATCAACCCGAAAACATCATTGCAGCTCATTGCATCAGGCCCCGTTTCGGCTTGAACTCAGCTAGGCTATCGAGTTCGAACGGCAATGCGGAACGTCTTCCTCGATGCCAAACCGAAACCGTCTTCCGATGGCCACTCCGGCGGAAAGTGCCGTGCCTTTTTCCGATGGCCACCAGCGGAACGCCCGCGTACTCCAATGGCCTCATCCTCAGATGAGCGATGGCTGCTTTGTCTAGAGTCTAGATAATTGTTGCTGAACCTCTGAATTAGTCCGATTACCTATTTCCATGTTTGTCTCGGCTCTTTCTACCTATTATCTATCATGCCGTGCCCCTATCCCACAAGACTTTGGGAGCTGGGCTCCCAAGAGCTTTGACACCACATCCCGCAACAAGACATCCCAACAACAAACGTTGATCCAACATGATTCAACATCCACTAATCCAGTGCCCCCTCCCTACCCACCCACCCACAAATCCACAAATCCATACAAATCCACTTAATCCACCTCGATGTTCACTTCGCCCAGCTGCTCGCCGTTGGGCCCCAGCTTAGCCTCTCGGAGGTCCAAAAACTCCGCTCCGCTGCCCACCTGCGCGAGCGGAACAGCGGCTGGAAGAGAAAAGGGACGTTCTCGTTGATCCAACCTGTTCTTTTTGTTCGGAGAACGTGAAACCTTTTGAAAAGGGATCATGTCGAATCATGGAATCGATCTGTACAGATCAGAAGGGTTCCAAGAGACTGGAACAAAAGCAGAACGACTTTTACTAGCCAGGAAGGACAGTCTGCAGAATGTTTAATGAATGTGAGCCAGGTACTCCAATCGGGTGATCCAATCTGGAAAGTCTGATCAATCTGGATCATGATCATGACATCAACGAACTCTCCTGAACTCTCCTCGAAGGCTTTAGTGTGGCATCGTTTGATCGGCTTCAACCACACCTTGCAAACGCCACCGCGCAGCTGCAACTGGCCAGATGGTGTCGGCAAAGCTTTCAGCGTGTGGATGTCCTGGGATCATACGATTGCTCTTCGGCTTAAGGGCTCGTCATGCCCTTGGGTTGGAGGCCATTCCTTTTAGGTTGGAGGCCATCGCCATTAGGTTGGAGGAATTTCCATGAATTTCCTAGTAGGTTGGAGGCCATCGCTATCAGGTCGGAGACCATTCCTATTCGGGCTGGCCATTAGGTTGGAGGCGATTCCTATTATTATTAGTTGAAAGGTCATATATACTACCTTGAATTCCATGAAGTGGGATGGCTTTTTGACCAACCCTGGGGCCAACATCATGTGACAGGGGCACCCAACTCCTTCCTCCATGCCGCACCCCGACATGGATCTGCTGGTACTGTCTTTCAGGGCCAGAAAGACTTCCTTCTGCCGTTGAAGGTGTTGCAGTCGAGGGCATGCATGTCATCTGGGATGTATGAGAGTCAATGATTTCTGATATTGTACATGATTGTTGTCTGGTACAAAACCCCTCTGCAGGTTGCTATTGGTTGCTATTGTATTGATTGCATTGAAGGGGACCTCAAAAGGTCTGGGGCCCTTGGGGTTGCTACAGCAGTGCATCCTATAGCAGCTAGCTGGAAAGCTAGCTGAAGAAAAAGGATGTCCCCCATTCCCCAGCGCAGAAGAGGATGTCCCCATTCACGAGGACAGGACGCAACAAGAACATCACTCGGTCACTCGGCTCAGCCCAGCGGCCGCAAACAACAAGCTACATTTGTGCGAGACCATCGCGGCCAAAGTGGCCTGGCGCAGCCAAATGGCATGGTGCTGGTGATGGCTATAGCAATCACCAGTTAGCATTCAGCATGTTCAAGCGCTGACAGAATCACTTGTCATTGTCCGTTCTTTCTTGGATACTATAACAATTAATGAAATGCTAGTACATGGAGGGTTTGTGAGGTCTTGAATCATAGCCACTTGGACGAAATGAACCCAAATGACCTGTGTTGACCCCAAAAAGGACGCCGCACACGGGTCCTCAGCGCCTCTGCTCGCTGGCTGGGGCTGCCACACCCGCGGATGCCACTGGCACCTCTACGAGAATGGCCCACGGACAGGTTCGGTTCGGACCAAAGCCCGTCGTTCGAAAACCAAAGGTCCCCCGGAAGCAAAGGGCGAATCCGCTGGAAACCCATTTGAGCTTTGATGTTGGCAAATGTCTGGCAAACCCACTTGATCCACCCTTCCAGGTCCTGTTTTTTGTGGCCTAAGCCTGCTCACCTCAACTCATTCCCACACCTCGTGGGGAGCCTGGCATATTGGGGCTTATTGTGGTGGTCATTGGCCAAAGAACTCCTCGCCCAGCCAACTCTCTTCGCCTGGCAGCACCAGGCCCGCTCCTCTCATCGTGGACTTTCACGATCTGGGAGTGAGTGCTGTTTCTCCTTTTGAAGGAGAAGTTCGACTGAAGCTCTAGCTGAATGTTTGGCTGAAACTTCTGAATGTGGGGCTGTCATTATTTGCCCATATCATATATCTATATTGTTATGGTTATGATACAAGGTATTTAGTATAATACATAAGTGGAATATGTCGCAAGCTTTCCAAACCCAGGATGTAAAAGGAAACATTGAACAAACTCTGCCTCCCTTACCCTAAAAGTGTCATGGAAACTTGGGCCTCTAGATTATCAAGAGATGATCATAAAATGCTTTGCTAATATAAGCATAGGTATGCGTAGGTGTCCTGTTGGCTTTGAATTTATTCCGTAGTGAAGCCATCTGCTTGGAGGTCTTGGATCAAATCTGGGCACGATGTTCGTGTTGGGGGACAACACATGACTTGGTCTCACATGCCTCACTCACACTATCCCCAAATATCCCCAAGACTCTCGGTCTGGGTGGACTGGACCAGACCACCAGCAATTCCAAGCGCTACTGACCAACCCAGGCGCTACCGTCCTGCCAACCAGGCGCTACTGACCGCAGAGCCAATGCCAAATGCATGGCCTCATCGACGTGGATCGACGCGTCACGTTCTCACGACGTGACCGGCTCACGACGAGAGACGTAGGATGACGTAGGCACGTCTCGCCGGCGAAAACTCAACTTTTTTGCGCTTGGAGAAGATCAAGGCCCCAAGGGTACACGCAAGGCCTCAAGGGTGCATATCAGGACTTAAAACATCTCTTAAAACCACTGCTACATGCGAAACCATGCGAAACCCATTGGTGAGGCTGAAGCCTCATCTGCAAAAAAAAAGCACTGGGCCCTTAGGTTCCAGCAGAGCGTGATGGAGACCAGAACCCGATCAGCTGCTGTGATTGCAAGTCCTTAGTCATGTGAGCCCATCTGACTCCGCAAGAAGAGCCAGTCAGTTGTAAATGGTCTTAGTCTTGGAAGAGGGAGTCCTATATTGGAAGAGGATCATTGGCGGAGCATTTCACACCAGAATGATAGCGCTAGCAAAGCTCCCTGAAACCAAAACGTCCACCAAAACACAAAACTGCGGCAACTGCAACATGTATATATATATATACAGTATTTGTATATGATTATATGTGTTTTACATTAACACAGAAAAAGGGGTCGTCAGTGTGACGAACTTCCTTCGGCTTAAAGCTCTATTGGCAGGTCTTCCATCCTTCCAACTTCCAACCGCTGAGAAGATCGACGCTCTTTGGCAGCTGCACCCATCTCCTGCAGGTGATCTCATGTGAAGCTCAAACATCAAAAGTTGAGTAATGTCGGGACACATTAATTAGTACATTAATCAAATGATGTTTATGTAATATATATATATATAGTATAATAGCTGTAATGCCCCCCTGGCCAACATCTTTTGCACCATAAAAAGATCCTCAAGTCCTGCCTGTCATTATCTTGTCCCACTGCCGTCCGACCCTCTTGCACCTTTGGACCTGAGCATGGGGCTGGGTACCTGCAGGGCCTGATGCCCACGACTTGGAGAAATTCATCCTGGCCCCGCCTCAATGGCCTCTCTGTTTGTCAAAGCCTTGGTACTTGACCAATAGCCCAGCCTCAGCATCGCGACGAACACCGATCAGGTATCATTGGCCTCTGCTACTATATATAGTGAACAAAAAAACACTCGCGGAACCGCAGCTTTGAGTCATCTCGCCTCTAGTCCCGTACACCTTTGATGAAATCCCCCGCCGCCGTTGAGAATAGTTTGAGAAACAACAAAATCGATTGTTCAATATGCTTTATCAAATAATATTTCTTTGACCCCCCACACCCAATGGCACCGGCGCCGTTCCATCGCTTCCTGGCTGGAAGCGAACAACCTGTCTCGGCACCCCACGGCGTGTCGTCGCCAGCCACCGAAACCCGCTCAGGCACCTCTGACTGCACCAGGGGGGCCAGCTCACCGTCTAAGTCCTCAAGATCAGACATGATCGTGTGGAATTGGGTCTTTTGGGCAATAGGACTAGAATGGACTAGATTATGGCAATGGATCTCAATCATTTTCTCATTCAACGAGTGGGACTGCGAGCCATTTAAAGTGACATCCTTAATCCTGACTTAATTAATGACTTCCTGACTTCTATCATGTGATTCATCTGACCTGCTTCTACGCTTCTGAGAGTTTACGACTGTTCTTGTGCCGGCCAAAGTCACTTTTCAACGATGCCAAAAAAACAAAAAAACACTTGTCGCAGCTGACAAAGAGATGCTCCGATGTGATGGAGCTGAACCTCCACAAAGTCAGGTGACCAGGTTTCGGAATGCCACCCGTCCTCAACCACCACAGGCTTCGCAGGCAATTGGTACTTGGCCTCAAATCACATGGTTCATAGGCGTGAAGACACAGGTGTGTATGGAGTAATAGCACAACCTCCTGCGGCAATGACCCCCAGATTTCGGTTTAGAAAATCGACCATTCTACCCGACCAGGATGAGCTCGACTGATTTCGGGGGTCTCCCTATACACCACCCACACGGTGCATTGCTGGAGTCGCTCCGAGTCAGTCCGCTCTGAGCTCGTCGCCAGCGCAGCGTTCACCGCGTCACCCGACCGGTGGGTCACGGCCTCGGTGCGTGTCGAGCGCGTGGGACCTGAAGGAATGTGAAGGACACACCGGGTGAAGCAAGCCATGCAGCGGCAACAATGGAAAAGCACATGGAAACATCATGGGTGGGTGAAATGGTATTGTGTTTTATGTATTCTATTGTTTTATGATGTTTTATGAACCTCCATGAACCGGCACCCTCACTGGTGAACTGAAAAAGTGGACCATGTGAAAGCAGAAGACAAGGAGGGATTTCTTCGGAAAAGGGCGTGAGACCTCCATCTTCTTTCGATCTTTTGGTTCACGATGTTGGTGTATCAAACCAAAAGCAATCATGTTAAATACACTCCAGCTTCTTCAGTTCGTGACCTTTTGAAGGTTCCTAAGTGACCCTTAGGAGACTTAAGTGACCTCAAACCAGGTTATCAAAAGGTCACTTTGAAGAACCAGGCTGTTAAATACTATATATATATATTATATTGTGTATATATAGACATCCGACCTCAGACCAAGATGGCGCTTCTCACGGGTCCTTAGGTCTGTCTCGGCTAGGCCTCTATACAGGGCACGTTGTGAATATAGGTGAAGCTCCTCGATCAAAGGAGTGCGTTGAAACCACTCACCAATCTACTCACATGTTTTGAATCATTTTGATCACCATAAGTTCACCTTAAATTGTTCTCAACCCTTTAATGTATATACCATGTGGAAGAACAGAAATGCGGTGATGGTCGGACCCAACGTTCCGATTCCGCGTAGACCGCAGGGCTTCTGCAGCCGGGCGGCCAGTTTCAGGTCAGTCACCTTCTGCAGCTCTGCCAGCTGACCCTCATCCTGACCAAGTGAAGGGTGGGCCCCAGAAATCTCTCTCCGTCTCTGTCTGCTCTGTTTGACAAATCGAGTCCGTCTCCCTGCGCTGTGCGGTCGACCGCGCCGCGTTGCCGCGCCGCGTTCCAGCAGTCATCCACAGCCCGACCTGACCGTCCTGCTGAACCAATGTCTGTGTTGTCTCTAAAAAGCCACCAAGCAAGCCCTGACATGGTTGGGTTTGCATGCCATAAAAATTCCATCCTGACAGGGTCAACTGACTTCAGCATACAACGTGCATGCCACAACAAAACTAGGTCAGGTGGTCAACCTACAACTGATCTTGGCAATGACTGCACTGCACCAAGTTGTGCTGTGCCAGTGATGGCAAAAGGGAACACCTCCCCTCCAGTGTTGGGTTCATGTATCCTGTATCCGAACTCAGGTTCCATCCTCACATTTGGCGGAACGGTCTCGCTTCTCACTTCTTTTCTGGCCATAGCAGAACTCTTTTCGATCGACTGGCTAAGTCAGCTTTGGGCTTCACAAAAAACAAAAATCTTGGCTCGAGATGGAAATAAGCGCAGATTCGGACGAAATCAGCGCACCTTCGGGTTTTGAACAAACACGCGCCGGACAAATGACCTTGGACAGCCACGAACATCCCATGCACAGATTGGCGAGCTGTTGCAGAAGCTTCAACACGCTCTGGACATTGCAATGTCCTGGTTGGTGCAACACACTCACTCTGTGTGATGATGGCATGGTGCCTTTCGTCTGTGCAATGATGGCATGGTCTGCGTGCCCGTAGTCTAGTGCACTGGTGGTCTATTCTGTTCCGTGGTCAACCACGGTCTCCGGGCGTTCACCCTCGGTCTCCGTGTGAGCACCAAACCGGTCCAAACACACCGTTCACCCGTCAGCGCAGCGATGGGGAAGGCGCAGGGCTGACGGTGACCGAAGCAATAGCCAAGCCAAGGGACCGGCCAAAGAAGCTTCTTCTTCCTATAGTAGTAAGGCCAGGAGCCGTCGTTCGTAGCCACAAGACCCCAAGCCAAGCGACCGGCCCAAGGAGCTTCCTTCCGATTTGATCCGATTCGGATCGTTCCGATGCTGAGAACACCTGGAGGAAAGGAAGCATGTGGAGATGTGCAGAGGGTGTCGTTTCTTCCAGGATCAGCTAGCCAGCTACCGTATACGTCAGTTTCCAGACTTTTTCCATGAACTTGGCAGCTGTAAACACCTCTGCCAGGCGTCCATCATTCAACATGGGGCATTCATGGGCATTCCAAGGCATTCCAGGGAAATCGCTTCTTTTGAGCTACCCCAAAGCAACAACCTTCAGAACTGTGAGCGACACGAGCTCCACGAACCGAAGCTCTCTCACGAGTTGAACACGCGAGAACACCCCCTCACCAACCCACGGGCCGTGAACGGAAAAACGGGCCGTGGATATGACGCGGAGAAGTGGACGTGCTTTCCAGGGAAGAGAACACATCCTTTGGGGTCGCGTTTTGAGAGAACCTGAGATCCAGTTGCACTGCAACAAAGGCTGGTCTCAACGAAATCTCTTAACAATTTTCTACCCAACCTATCCAAAGCGTCTGCACGTGCTTGCTTGCTCTATAGCAAAAAGCAAGACTTCTGCACATCAATCAAGAAAAAGCGAGGTCAACGAGCTTGCTTTCTTTGCATTTCTTTACTAAGTTCTATAGTTCAAGCAGCGGTTAAATAGGGTGACAGGAAAGGCTACAGTACTTGCTCCCAAAGACATGGCGACCTGCTTGGCCAGCCCCAGCTTGGAAGCTGATGCAAAGCTCAATCATCAGGTGTTGCTCTTTTCATCTCGTTTCCTCGATCACCAGGTTTTGCTCAAACGAATCTACAGAAGGAAGACAGCCCAAACTCACAGACCACCTGGGTGCGAATGATGAAGTCAAAGGGTACCAAAGCTCCTCCATCTTCGGGAGCCCACATCTGCCGAAGCCGCCATGAAGGCACACTGCTCCATGTGCCGATTGCACCGCCTGTCCGACGCAGCTCGAGCGGCTTCACTGAGAGCCGCCCGGGCCAGCTAGCTGTTTCCATCCGTGGAAGCGGTGGAAGAGTGGGTCGCAAGGCTGGAGCGTCCACCTAGGCATCAAAAGCACATCGACGGGCGCTGGAGCGGCCTACCTCTTTTGGTGGAGTCAAATATGCCAGGGCGGTCGATGGTAGAAAGCAGCACAGCTTGCGCATCCCTGACGGCTGGCAACTCGGGACCTGAAGGGCAGCAATTGGATCGATTTCTCTTTCGTCTGAACTTGTGGTTGTCTCATTGAGCCTGTTTCACAGCGGCAAGTCTTCGATGTGGTTTCAGAGCCCAGGCCACGAAGTCGTAGTTGGTTGCAAAAGGAAACGCCCCACACAACGCCTATTGCCTGCTTTCAATAGAGGATGAGCTTCCCCAGGCGAGGGTTCCCCAGTCTCTCTGTCTGCTTTGTGCAAGTTTATCCCCCCATTACAAAGCTCAGCTTTGCGTCTTTAGTTTGAGAATGTTAGAGAGAGAGAGAGAGAGATCTAACACCTTGGACAGCACCCCCCGTCCTGTCCAGATTGAAGCGAGAAACAGCTCTCTCTTGGGCTTCTTCCAAAGCTGGACTGCACGACTTACAGGCATGTCACATGTGGAGCTGCTCAGCAGGAGGTTCCACCAGTCCAAGACCGGATCTGGTGGTTTCGTAGGAAGGTCCACGTAGGAAGGGCCATGGCGCTTTCTCGAGTTATGGCGGTTTTCTCTGAGATCTCACATTGATTCACCATGTCACATATACTAGCTATAGTGACTATTAGTGGGTTCATGATACTCTGCAAGGGAAAAAACACCTACACTTGATTGAGTCTAGTCGCAAATTGGAGTGCCACACAATCACCTGGTAAAAAGCAACAATCCTCTGGGTGTTAGTTTTCAAGCCATTCTTAATGAATCTTATGGTTCTTAATGGTAGTGGGAGAAATTGAGACAGGTTGTCTCCTGTTCCAGAGGCACTTTCATGGCCAAGCATCCTCTTTCCTGAGGATTCCACACAGTTTTGAGCGGCGAACATTCAGATCGTGCAATGTCGCCAGATTGGACAGGACCTGCTGATTGTCAAACACTGTGACGAGCCGCAGTGGCAGCCATAATCCTGCCAGTCCTGGCAACTCAAGTTCTGAATCAAGAATCTGCTAAAGGCCCAGAACATGTCCAGTGCGCATCCAACATGGTCCAACAGATGTTCATCTGTTCCTAATCTATTCCTCCCAGACGCTCCTTCCACACATGGGCCAAACTGGGCCGGGGCCGCGGCCCCGAATCCTCTGGTGCGACCCGAATCGAGGTCGGACCTCATGAGTCGGCCTGTGAACTCATCGGGCTGTGAGCTCCTTCTGTGAGCTCGTTCCTGCATGTTCTGCCACCCCACCTGGCTGGCCGTTTTTGCGGCAAAGAGACGGTCACGTATCGCGTCCATTCTTTTCTTCAGGACGGTCGGCAGCTTCTGTGCCGGTCATGGCGGTGAGGGACAGAGTCTGACAGACCCTGCAGGGAGTCACCAAAAGGCTCTGAGCCTGCAGGAGCCTTTGACAATTTGACGCATGGAGGGGATGGGTGATGGGTCATGGCAGGCAACCTTGGTTGACCTGCCGGCGAGACGGTCAAGCTACATGATGGGCATTTTGAAGTCCTGGCAACGAAAAGATCAACCAGAAGTCCACCGGAGAAGACATCCATGATTCCCACTCGGGAAAGAAGACATCCACTGCAGATTGCGCAACAAACATCGAAGATAACAAGCCATCTCCCTGTCTCATCAACGCTAGGGTTTCATCCGGGATGTATCTATGGGGCGCCACTGCCGCACTGCTGCAGTACAAACGGGCTGAGGATGGCACAGTATGCGGCACGACATGGAAGCGCAGACCCTTTGGAGGTGAACCCCGGGCAAATGGCACATGGCTGGGACCCCTTGGCCCTGGCCGGCTTTTCCTTGAATTGGGAAGGTCGGTCCCCCTATGTTGAGCTACGCGCCCAAATGCCGCAGAAGGATCATGGCAACTAGCGTCTCAATGAGGTTCACCATCTACGTCTCACTGGGACGAATCGCTTGGAACTTGGATCTGACGTAACGTCAAGCCGGCTGCTGCACACACCAAACGAGGTCGATTCGAGGGCTGGCGCAAGCACCGCACACATCCAGTGCCAACACCACCTCTTCATGGTGTCTTGGGTACTTTCCAGTGACGGAGCAGCCCCATGTCTTGGAGATGTGCACCGAAGGAAAAAGAATGTCGGATGTGTGTAGGGCTATGCCAAAACATCAATGCTGCCGAAGTAGTGCTGGAATATCTCCACCAATGGGAATGCAAGGTGCAAAGCAGTGTCACTGTCATCTGTACCTACGGTTCTGCCACCGAAGCGGCTTGCATCACAGGAGCTAGGAGGAGGCAGAGTTGCAATCCCGAGCAGGTCTCTGCATGGAAGTGAATCTGGAACGCTTCCGAGCAAGGTGTCGTGACTGAAGAGATTCCCAATCTGCTAACAGAATGGTCAAGCGTTCCCCCTATCGCATGGAGTGAAGCCGCTGAGGGTCCTGCATGTCACAACATGCGGAATCTGAAATCTGGGGCAGGTCACAACTTGGAATTTGGGGGTTTTAGAATGCATATATGTCTTTCCAGCTGGGGGTGTCCCTGGTCTCCTGTTTTCCACACGTATCTGCACAATCCACTGGGCATCACTCGGGGTTAGATCTTATTGTTTTCCATGTGACAACCTGTGACAACTATAACTATAGATTAAGGTCTACTGTCTCGTCTCCAGCTATGAAATACAACTCATCGAACGCATGACAACAAGCAGAATACAATAGTTGTCCACTTTCCCAGACCGTCACAATTTCGGGAGAGAGAACAGAAACTCCGGATACAAGCACTCCCGATGCTGTCAGCCTGTCGGCGCTTTCAACCATGTCTTCCTGGCCTGTCACATGCTCGAAGACTAGACCTCT